GATTTCTGGAGGATCTGAAGGATAATTTACAATATTACTGTTTTTACTGACCAATATTTTAAAAATATTCTGATTGAAGACATTTTGCTTGTATTGTTTTGACTTGAAACAAATCCCAGCAGCATTGTAAAACAGAAAGCAGGAGTTTTTTCTCTGTCTTTTAACACACTGTCTTGTCGTTGCGTGTTTTTGTTTTTAACAGGTTGTTGCAGTTTTCTTGTTGATATGTTGCACAAGTCAGGGTAACCAGACACTGCGTGATAAGAGCCTCCTCTGACACTGTACCAGACAAATGTTACAGTTGCTAAACACTTCGCCAGATTCTGTTCAGTTCATTGTTATACAACTGACATTGATCTACTGTGGCGCAAGCATTAACTTGACGCCGTCTTGTTGCATGAAACGCTGAACCAACCAGAATCAAAGAGCTCTCTTCATTTGATCTTCTTCATATCAGCATTGTTCTCAAACACAATGTTTTTCTTTCCCCCACAGGAATGTTCAGAAGGAAGACCGCATGCCTATGATGGACGAATACAAGGAGTACAAGCGCATTAAAGCCAAACTGCGGCTTCTGGAGGTCCTCATCAGCAAGCAGGATTCATCCAAGTCCATCTAAATCTGACATGGCCTGCACCATCTCAAAGGCCCATCCTGACAGAAGTCCATCAACGTCCACCGCCGTCCCTCCTCACTCAACCACTACACCTGTGTACTCCATCATCCAAAAAATCAGCTACAGGAAGAGCGAAGTTCCCTTGAGTTTGATATTCAGACTTTTGTCTTTCTTTTCCACATTGACAAGCTTTCTCATACTGAGAATCATCTGCGTTGAGTATCGCATCAGTTCTACATGTGTATATATATATATATATATATGGACATCAAGCACTGAACTCTTCCTCAGACCACATGGATAGTCGTCATATCTCAACACCCACATCATACTCCTCCTCGCCCTAATTCATAGGGGTCTTCATGCTCTCCGAGGGTGTGATTTGGGTTCTGTGTATGTATACTTGTACAGATCTATACTATTCTGTATGTAGGCTTAAATATTTCAATGTTTTTCTTGATTGAGACTAATTATCCAGTGTGATTTTTTTTCAGTTACAAATCAGAGGACTCTTGTATCAAGCTGGTGCTCTTTTTGTTTTTTGTAGTGAGACTTGGATCATCTGATCGGACTGACAAAAGCTACTCCAGCTGGACTGTCACAAACTCTTCCTGATTCATATGTAAATATCATCTGTAATATGCATCTAACGGACGATGTAACGAAAGTGAATATATATATATATATATGCCAAACTGACATGTTAGATCACAGTGGTACATAATAGATCATTTCTGACGCTATAGTTAGTATGAATAGATGGAGTGGTTTTTTTGGGGGTGTTTTTTTTTTTTTTTTTGTACGTTAATGTGTCCTTATTGGTTTTTCTCACCTCTAGACTCTTGGTTTGCCAGTGTGCACACATTCAACATTCAACTTCAGTCTGAAAGCATCCGCTCATGACCAATAATGCTGTTAGTTAGAAGAACGTGATAATTAGATGACCGTGACTCCTGATGTGTGACGTGCATGCTGTCATAATCATGTGTCATGTGACTTCAGGGCACAGGATGAGGTTTCCTGCACTTTGCAGCGTATCATCTGATCTGTCACGGTTCATATCGTAACAGTATCGGCTTTACCGTGCTGCTGGCATTGAGCTCAACTGATGATAAAGTCTTATCGAAGAGAGCGTGAAGGGAGGATGCGAGGATGGAGAGGTCAAGATGAGAGGAGCTACTGGTCAAGTTTTTGATATTGGCAAATGCACAGAAGGGATGTGTTCGTGACGGATGAAGGAGGTGATGGAGATTATTTGCACAGCATTCTGGGAATGCAGTATGTTTCGTTTGTTCCAGTTGTTTCTCGTTTATTCAAGCACTACTTGCACGTGAATGCTGCGAGTGCAGGTTGTTATCGGACGTGTTCTGGCCCATCTATCACTGTGTGGTGTCGTCCTTTTTTATGACCATTATTTTGTACTCTGGTTTTTTATCGTCTCACTTTTCCGCAAGTTAATCTTAACGGCGTGATTTCCTCTGTATTAGTGAAGCACCTGCTTTGTCCTGTTTTGTATAAGCTTGTCAGTAGTAGGTTTGCATGGCAGAAATTTGTATTTCTATTTTTGTGCCATGAAAATGAAGCAATAAATTAGCACCGGGGCCTGTATCAGTGGAATGAGAGCCCTCCTGTATCCAGTATGTGCATTTTCATTAAACAGCTTGTGAGTATTATTACCTGATGTGTTCATGCCTTTTTGTGCCTGTAGGAGTGCTCGAAAATCAACAAAAAAAATATAACATAAAACCAGTGGTGGACTGTAACGGAGTAGCTTTACTTCGTTACTGTACTTAAGTACATTTTTCAAGTATCTGTACTTAACACCACAGAAGAAGTCTATGAAAAGGGTCCATTGTTGTGGCTAGAAACTAACAATAAATTAATTTGTTTTACTATTAGATTGTGTTTTATTAACGTCTACACCTACCCCAACCCTAAACCTACCCCTTACAAGGATGCAAAAATAGTAATTGTTGCACAGTGTGACTAAAACGATGCTATATTGATGTGCGCATGCCCAGTTGCTGCAGCTGTATCCCTTCTAGCCTTAACCACTGTCCATTGTCAATAGTGCAAATGTATGACGCACAGCTCACACAGAAGTCACTTTCAGAGCAAGATCAATGCAGCGAGTCTGTGTGACCGACTTGAACGCATTGCGAAATCTGTGTGGGAAATCTTTTGTCCTCACAAAATTCCTGGATTCCTGCTGCAAAAGCTGGGCTGCGTCTATGAAAACATGCAATGGTAAACGTTGCTTGATTTTGCAAACTGGTGTTCATTTTTGCATTAATATCAAAGGTGCTTTGTCTTTTTTTTTTTTTTTTACTGAACTAAAGCATAAAATACCATGTTTGCATATATTTAGGAAACGTACTAATTTCACATACTTGCTTCTCTGAAAAACAATGCTACAGCCAGTTAACTACTTTTCGTTCCATGTCGGAATGTCTGTTTTTGTTTTGGTCTGTGTGACTCCGCCCACTTCCAATTTATCCAACAGTATTTCCACACCCCGGGTTGCAAGCTGGTGGAAAACCGCGTATTTCATCCATGGAAGCCTAAAAACTAAACGAGTCAAAGATCACAGTCTACCTGACCTAAAAAGGATCCTTGCTGTCTATGGAAGGGTCAGAGTTCTCGGAATTCATCAAAAATATCTTAATTTGTGTTCCGAAGATGAACGAAGGTCTTCCGGGTTTGGAACGACATGAGGGTGAGTAATTAACGACAGAATTTTCATTTTTAGGTGAACTAACCATTTAACTGCTAGCTATCAATATTACATACACCTTTAATTTATTAATTAGTTTTATCATGTACTACACTTTAGGTGTGTCCCTTATACACTTTTCTATGCTATTTTGTAGTATAAATAGTGTGAGTAGTGTTTACACCGAAAATTCCAATAAAAAGTGCACATAACTACCCATAGTATGCACTTAAAACTATAGGCAATGTTTTTCATAAACATTTTTGTTATAGTGGTTGAAAGTCGCTTGACATCCTGATAGCAATCAAATGATATTAAAATCTGTGGAAGCTTCAGGACCATAAAATGTTTGTCCAATCATTACATTGCATCCGAATGCAGTGATAGGATGTCTTACCTGCCTGTAAAATTGCAGCCAATAGCGAGAGTTTGGGGGCGTGGCTGCTGTTCAGTGTTGAGCAGGTGCCGGAAAAGAAATTAAAGGGGTCATATGATGCGATTTCAAGTTTTCCTTTCTCTTTGGAGTGTTACAAGCTGATTGTGCATAGATAAGATCCCTGAAGTTGCAAAGACTAAAGTCTCAAAACCAAAGAGATATTCTTTATCAAAGTTAAGACTCTGCCACGCCCCCCTAAAACGGCTCGTTCTAACACACCCCACATATCTACACAATGCATTGGGTCAGCTGGCCAATCAGAGCAGACTAGAAAACTAAGCGTTTGAGAGAGGCGGGGCATAGAGGACCTACAATAATGTACAAGTATTTGAAAAATAATGTGTTTTTTGAACATTAAAGCATGTCAACATATTCTGTTACACCAAATACACCAAATAATGAAGAATCAGATTTCCCCGCTGGCTGCGGCTCTGGTGTACCGTTGCAGCCAATTGCAGGTAAAGTTAATGTTGTAAATAATGTTCAGTTTCTTGCACAGACCGATTGTTTCGCATCATAAGACCTCAATATATCGTAAGGAGCCACAGGTATTAATTTTGTGTTCACTGATATGCTTTTTTATTCTCAAACCCCTTGCTGACTTGAATTTTATGAATCACCAAGGACCACGGTTTCAGCTAAAAATACTATTTGCTGTTCTAGTGAAGAAAAGTCACCTACATCTTGGATGGCCTGAGGGTGAGTAAATTAACAGCATATCTTCATTTTTGCGTGAACTTTTAACTGCCGCCGGTGACGCTAAAAACAATACATATAACACCGGAAAAGCCTTCAAAAACCATTAATTAACTGGAAAAAGGAAGTTTGTAATGTTGGACACTTAATGCATTCAGCTGTCACAGCTTTCCTTTTATAACGGAGAAGGATGGGCTATCAGACTTCAATACTGCATAAACTTATAAAGTCCATACACTAGACTAGACTGAGTACATAGTGCGTAGCATAAGTGCATAATAGTGTATAGTATGTCATTTGGGACACTGTTTGTTATTCTTCTAATTTACCAGTAGAGGCTAATGAAACACAGGTCTGGCACATTCACTGAATAAATCATCTAAACATATTGTATAGGCTTAAAATCTGCTTGGTCAAAATTTGACGTTAATGCAAATATGTAATCACGTGTTTAAGATCATTTTCACTTTCATCTTGGCAATGCATGACTGACTGCTGCCCTCCAGTGACAGTTCATAGACTGGCAGTCACAACACAGCAATCCAATTCTCTTATCAGCTTAATTTATTAATACATTTTGTTTAGAAATACATAAATACCTTGCTCACAAACCACATTCGTGCATACTCCATAGATGATGCACCGCACTGGAATGTCATAGTTTTAGAGCTGTGGATCATGATGTGTAATGGCAGCAGTTACACCAGGCATAGCACAAAATAAACTGAGTAACTGGGAACAACAAAAACAATGTTTTACTGCATAGTATGACTTTTAGATCAGTATATATCCAAATTAAAAAGAAAGTAGGGCATTGTGAGAATGAGAATGTGATATGTGAATTTGTTAATTCATATTTGTTACCAACGAAATTAGTTTTCATTTCACAATGATCAGTATTGTAAACAGGAATGGTCTACAGTGAAGCTTTACAGATCCTATAACCCAATAATGAGAAAAAGAACCTTAAGAAGGCTTAATATTTTTAAATATTTAAAATAAAAGAGTCTTCCAAAGTCTAGTTCTGTTGAACCACTGATGCAAATTACCCAGTCAGAATAGAACAGGATAAATGGTATACTTGACATGAACCTGTGCTATCTTGGTATTTACCTGCGATTGAAATAGTACCAGCTCTACTGAATAAGATGAACAGTGCAATTTTACCAAAAAGACACCAAGCCAGTGCTATTTCAGAGAGAGTTGTCATGATCAAAGAAAGACGCTGTGTGTCCAACATGGACGATTGCACACCAAACTGCATCATGAAAAGTGCTTATGTACAAGTAACTAACATACAGCATTATCCATATGAATTGTGAGTTACATTTGGCACATTAACTGGTATGGTCACATTTACTGAATTTTCACAGGCGAATTCCAGTCATTTCAATAGGAATCAATGTGCTCTTCACAATGGATTCAAGTTGAAATTTCAAGCTGAAATGTGACCATACCTTTACCCTGTGAGATTTATATGATCGGTTTAGCAGTTTAACATCCTCAATACTATATGGCACGAAAGCAGCTGGTTAAAACAACTTATGGGCTTGTGCCCATAATACTTTTCATATAAACATAAAGTAACCCTGTAACCAAACCAACAGAAGTCAGTGATATCCAGTCCTGATCCGCTTTAAAGGGTGTGATATGCATTAGTGTTAACCCGTAGAAACAGTTTTGGCATCATATGGACTGTTCCTGCGATGCGAGTGTTTGTTCGGAGCGTTGTCAGTCAGTAGTGAAGCAGGCAGAGAGGCCTCTGTTGGCACAATCTTCACCTGCACCAGCTCATGTAGGCGTCCCATACGCACTCGGTCCTGGCAGACTATAAACGAGGTCTCATTTAATACACACTATACTGGGCGACCTCATGGCCTCTCTGTTAATAACAGGGCTAAATGGCACTTTCTGGAGACTGGGAGAGGTCAGGGCTTGGTGTGTGTGTGTGTGTGTGTGTGTGTGTGTGTGTGTGAGGCAGCCAGGCTTTGAGATGGAGAGCTTCGAGCACCTGTCTTAAATCACCGTCTGTCTGTCACAGCTCAGCCCTCGACAGGTGCGAAGAGACTTTTAGTCATAAGAGGCAGCCAGGCTTTGAGATGGAGAGCTTCGAGCACCTGTCTTAAATCACCGTCTGTCTGTCACAGCTCAGCCCTCGACAGGTGCGAAGAGACTTTTAGTCATAATGGCTTGTCAATAACTGACACCCCTGAAACAGAAAAGAGAGCAGTTGAGTTTAGTTTTAGGGTGTTTTCACACCTAGTTAGTTTGAGCCCTGCAAACGCTCTCAGAGCGGTTCAGCTTGTATATGTAAACAAACATGTGATCTCAGACCCCCTAAAAGGACCCAAAAGCGAACCGTACTCCGACCACCTCCAGAGGTTCGGTTCGTTTGTGGGTCCGTTTGTGCAATGAGGTCCCGGACCGACCAACATAACAGTAATGCTTGAGGTTGAACTCATTATTTGTATATATTTTTATGTATATCTTATTATTATTAATCAATGTTATTTCAGACGTTTCAATCTTGTTACATTTTTCAAAAGTAAATAAACATAAGTAAATAAACAAACCAAATGTTAACTCTATGAATACAAAATAATTCTGTTGTCATTTATGTCATCTACGGCTAACTGCGTTAAATTATTTAATGTGGCGGCAAAGAACCACCCGACGCGCAGCGAAGATCTAGCTTTCTGCCCACTTTAAATCAGACAGAGATGAAGTCGTGCGGTAAGATCACATTTATTTGAATGCATTGATTTTAATTAATGATCGAGAGAGAGAAGGATTAAAGTTGCGTGTGTGAATTGTGTCTGTGCGTCTCATTCTGCAAACAGTGAAGCTGTGAGTTTCGTTGCTTCAAAACATCAATTTTACCCCCGAGTTGCTGAGAAATATAATGTAGCGATTCAGTATCGAAGCTATTATATTAATAAAACAAGCATTGACAAGAACCACCGCTGCACAGAAGCTGGGGTCTGAGTTCTTATGAAGATGTGGTGTTAACAAGATCACTTCTGTGCTAAAGAGGGTTCTCTTTTGAGTCCACTACATTGTGAACACTATAAGGACTGAGATCACTTTCGTCTGGTTCACTTTAAGTGAACTGGGTTTGGTTCTTTTAAAACAGACTATATGTGAAAACCCCCTTAGTTGAATATGGAGGTTGTGAGAGTGAAGCAGACCTGCGTAGCTGCGTCCGTTGCTCATGTTGGTGGGAATGAGACTCCATTTATCGGCAGCAGCGTCGTAGTACTCCACAGAGGACAGGTTACACGAGCCGTCGTCTCCTCCGATCACATACAGTAAACTGTTTATGGCACACACTCCTAGAGACAAACACACTTAACTCAGTTCTCCTTAGGGCTGGGTATCGTTCAAAATTTTTCGATATCGATACCGATACCTTGACTTCGATACCGGTTCCTGAACGATACTTTTTTCGATACCAATTTTATGAAATAAATTTTAACAAGATTACATTATCTAAAAAAAAAAACTTTGGTTTTATTTTTCAGCTTGTTGATGTTTATATATATATATATATATATATATACACACATAATGCATTCAGGTCATTTTGAACTTGGATTGCTAAAAAATATGTCTAGACTATCAAAATACACATCATTCAATTTTTCTAGATTTTCAAACAGATATAATCATTTAAAAATGATGGCAACTTTACACATGGTATTTCTCAGAGATCTTTCTTAGAGTTAGATTTGCCTCAAAAATACTTTCCTATATCTCACACACACTTCTAGAACTTTTTTAATAAACATGAATATCAATGTAAACAGACAAATAAACTATATCAAATTAACTACTGCCCAAAGCGGTGTAAAGTTAAAGTGAAAAAGTGAAAAGTGACGTGACGTGACATGTGGCCAAGTATGGTGACCCATACTAGGAATTAGTGCTCTGCATTTAACTCATCCAAAGTGCACACACACAGCAGTGAACACACACACACCGTGAACACACACACGGAGCAGTGGGCAGACATTTCTTGCTGAGGCGCCCGGGGAGCAGTTGGGGGTTCGGTGCCTTGCTCAAGGGCACCTCAGTCGTGGTATTGAAGGTGGGAGAGAGCGCTGTACATTCACTCCCCCCACCTACAATCCCTGCCGGTACGAGACTCGAACCCGCAACCTTTGGGTTACGAGTCCGACTCTCTAACCATTAGGCCACGACTTCCCCCTAAATATAATATAATAAATATAAATATAAAGCAAAACACCAATGACCAAATAATCTAAACTTGACAAATAAAAGGTTTGAAGAAGGAAAAGTCCATTCTGCTGCCACCTACTGATCAACCACTGCTGCATGAAAATTTTATCATGTTTTTCATTACATTAAAATTAATATATTTTGTTTGAAAATATTCTAGAGTAATATTTATGTTGTTTTGATGTTATTTTGTTAGAAATTTAATATGTAGGTTTCATAAATTTGGACTGTTTTTAAGCAGTCATGAGTTTTATGTAAGGAATTTAACTTATTAATTGAAACATTTTATACTGCTAATTCTATAAATTCATAAAACGATACATTACATTTAAAAATCTCATGAATATTTATAAAAATGTTTTTTCTTGCATCACACTGGTTTATTTATAATTTGAAATGTAAAAGAATTCCTTAATTATTAAAAAGTATAACACTGCAGCATGCAAAACTTTGAAATGTTTCACATTCACTGTTTAATGAGAAGCTATTTATCAGATATAATATGGTTTGTGTTGACCCCATGGCTGTTTTAACCTTATGCCTCACTGGGTCAAAAGTGACCCGGAATAGTCTGCTGTTTTATGCATTATGAAACTGGAAAATCTTGTTTTCAATTATTTGTCCTCCAAAAATGTTCATTAGTCTCACCTGCATTCCTTCGGCACATGTTCATGTCACACACCTGTCTCCAGGTATTAGTGGCAGGATCATAGACCTCGACACTCTTCCTCACCAGAGGACCGTCATGTCCACCTGCAGCATACAGCTGTCCACTGAGCACTCCGACACCTGTACAAACACACAATCACATCACAGCCAGTGAATACATGGAGACCACGAGAAGTGAGCCCAGTGCATATTCAAATCATGTCCAAAAAGGAACTAACCAGCTCCACTGCGTCTAGTGCTCATGTCTGCCACATAGCACCACTTATTACTGACCGGGTTATACTCCTCTACAGTACTCAAACACTGTCGGGACGCTCCGTCATATCCTCCAACAGCATAAAGCTTTCCTGTACAAGCATCAGACACACTATGTGAAATCACTACACAAACAATCTACATAAGCTAACACAGCTGCACAGTTTAAATATGTAACAACAACAGCCAAAAGGTGAAATATTGTGAAATGTTCATTCACTATTGTAAAATCATCTTTTATTGTTGCATGCATAATTTCATGACCATGTTTGCACTTGAACCTCAATACGTTGAGCATATGTTGATTAATCAACACACATTAACTCAAAATGCTCACCGTCGACCACTCCCACCCCAACACTGCTGCGCCTGGTGTTCATGGGAGCCACAAACATCCACTCATTAGCCTTGGGGCTGTACGCCTCCACTGACGACAGACCTACCGAGAGACATTCATCAGACAAATGCCAAAATGTCAGTCAAACAGGGCTAATGATGACGCTGCTTGTGCATGTGCTTAAACCAGGCAGAGTCATCTGTGAACATACAGTTCACTGAAAATATATACGCTACACTACTGTTCGAAAATGCGGGGTTGGTGCGATTATTTTATTTATTTAGTCTCTTGTTCACCAAAGCCGCATTTACTTATTTAGAATATACAGTAAAAATACAGTAAAATATTTTAATTTCAGATAACTTTGTCAAAATGTAATTTATTTCTGTGATCAAAGCTGAGTTTTCAGCATCATTACTCCAGTCTTCAGTTGCACATGATCCTTCAGAAATCATTCTAATATGCTGATTTACTGCTCAAGAAACATTTCTGATTATTATCAATGTTGAAAACAGTTGTGCAGCTTCAAATTTTTGTGTAAAATGTGATGTATATTTTTGTCAGAATTCCTTGATGAATAGAAAGGTCAAAAGAACAGCATTTATTTGAAACGGAAATCTTTAGTGACATAAAATGGGTAGATTACTTACAAATTGTAGTCTGTTACTGATCACAGATTACATGAAAACTCTATTCAGTAATGTAATCTAGATTACTCATTTTAGATTACTGTATGTTTATCAAACTTGTTTTAAACTTACCGTTAAACATACCATATTGATATAAAAAAGCAAAAGAAAGAAAATGTATTTAGTTTATTGATATCAACATCATAAAATGCATTAAGCATTACATTACAGCGGGGTCTTATATTAAGTCCCAAACTGGACTTAATATGAGAATCAACCGTTACTGAAGGTGATTGGACATGATGAAGACTGTGTTTCACAGCTGTACATCACCAGTGTTCAGTAACTTGCATAATTACTTGTTTCATGCATGGTCTAATTGCTTGAAAGTTTCTTTCTGCACCCAAATTCAGAAGCATGGTTTACAAATTTATTTACACAACATTTGTGAATATAGTCAAAGCTAAATGGTATGATGAGTAGGATTTTTAGAAAGAAAAATTAAGAGAAAAAAAGAAGAATTAGGATTAAAAAATTATGAATAATTTTCTAATCATGTGATTTTGTAATACATAAAAAGTAACTGTAATCCGATTATGAGCATTTTAAAATTAAATGAGCATCTTAATTTTGGGAATCGGATTACCTAATCCAGATTACATGTAATCAGCACTGACTGTCGCTTCTGATTAATGCATTTTTGCTAATTAAAGGTTGTTTTTTTCCAAATAAATCTTACTGATCCCAAACTTTTGAACGAATACATCCTGAAATTCATTTTTCAAAGGTATACCTGTACTCCCGTCAAAGCCCCCGACAGCGTACAGCAGGTCCCCCAGTACAGCTGCTCCTAAAGTGCTGCGGCGCTCTTGCATGCTGGGAACAGAGCTCCACTGCTCCTTCAGCCCATCATATACGTCCACCGTCCGCACACGCAGGGAGCCGTTAAATCCCCCCACCGCATACACCTTACCGGCCATATACACCACACCTACATGACACACAGGCAGAACGTAAGACTAGGGCTGCACGATTAATCAATTCAATCGTAATCGCGATTAAGCAAACGCTGCGATTGTCATGCGTATCTTTCAGTGAAGCACAGTTCTGTGATCAGTAGTAAATCTCCATCCGAAGGCCAGAGGGCGCTCTCGCGCTGAAACTCCAAATATGCCCTGCAGAAGAAAGATAATGCAGGTTGTTCCAGGAAACAGAATTCATGATTCAGCATGACTAATAATAAACACAGGACTATGACTATATATGATTTATCGGAGTTCTTTTTATTAGAATTTTCACTACAATAAAGTATATTTATAATGCAATGCTAAGTGAGTTCAGAATAAAATCATGTTATTAAATGTGGTATTCTGTGGGACAAGAGGTTCATAAATACTTCTCATGTTTGCAAAGATGTTGCTTTTTCAAATGCACGTTACAAACGGTAAAGGCTCGATGGTATACAGAAGCGGTTTCAGGTGGAGCAGCGTTTACTATACAGAGCCATAGTTTATTGACAAGCTACGCAAACTGCTTTCGTAATCGCAGAACGTATTCATCAATTTCATAACCGCGCGATTATGAATGCAGTTTTGCGTAGCTTGTCAGTGAATTACAGCTTCATTGTTAGTTTCCGGCCGCAGCGGTATCCCTTCTAGAAACAACCCTGGAACGAAGTGCATTATCTTTCTTCTGCGGGGCGTATTTGGAGTTTCAGCGCGAGAGCACCCTCTGGCTTTCGGATAAAGATTTACTACTGATCACAGAACTGTGCTTCACTGATTAGATGCGCATGACAATCGCATTCGATTAATCGTGCAGCCCTAGGTAAGACCAAGAGAAAAAGCCATTTAGAGATGAGGGACAGAACAGAGAACAACCTGCTCGACAGCGTCTGGAGGGTAAGTCGGCCACCTGGTACCAGCGGTCCTCTTGAAAGTCATAGCACTCCACGCTGCGGATGGCTTTAGGCGCCTGACCCCCTACAACCATCATCACCTGTCAGATTCACAACAAAAATCAATCTGTCTGAGTCAATAAATTCATCCAGGTCTTCAGACTGCGACTAAGCTGTTAAAAAAATGCAGTCATAATTTATAAGGTAGTCAGTTTATTGATGCCACTGTTGCCACACTGCTCAGTTTTGAAGTGGACGCTTGCGTGTCAGGCTTCAATACGTTGACTTCTATGAGGAAAGATCTGATCACTTTAATAACCTGACGGTTGATCTTAAAAGTGTTTACCAACTTTCATTTCAGAGTAATATTTTGAAATTACAGGGAAATAAATGTTGTTTATAAGAGAAGTCAGAGAATTTTGGTTTTATTCTTTTTTATTTTATTTTTATGGAATCCGCAAACAATGATCGACTGTTGTAAAGCTGAAAGCCATCATATGAGATAATCAGATATAATAATAAACATATTTAAATCAAAGCAGTGTTTTTGATAATCAGGGACCATATTCACAAAACACAAAATCTTATGTTCCTTAAATGTTCCTTAATCTTAAGGATAAAAGTAGCTCCTAACTTGCCGATTTAGGAGAAACTCTTTTAAATTATGTTTGTGTCAGTCATAATCTTAGGAGTATTTCACAAAGCGTTTTAGCACTAAAACCAGCTCCTAAATCTGTGAAAAGTAAGAGGTAGTTAAGAGGACTCCCAAGTCACTAAGACCAAATCACAAACCATCCTAAAATGGCTGTTGCTGGCAAACGGACTCAGAACGAAAACATTTCACGATCATTTCCCTTTAATTTAATTGTCCTTTTCATGTACAAGTTGGGCAAGAAGTAACAGCTGTCCTTGCGTCCAGTTTGGTTTTCTTTTACGTTTGCACAATGTCTTACTATCAGCCATGATTGCTCTAGTAGTCTGTTAATTAAAGGGCTGCTTATATCCAGGGAAGTCATTTCACTCTGCATCCATATTTGCAGCTATTTTGAACATGCAAGTGTGTTGCCCTTTTTCCCATTCGTAGTTATACAGGTAAGCAGTCTTGATATATACAGTGTTTAACAGAGCAACCTCAAGCTAACTTGTGAGTTACAGTTTGAATCAGACTTAGTGAATCACTCAGAAAACTAGTGATAATAAAGGACTAGTAAGTACACCCAAACTTGACTAGTACTGTAAATTTGAAGCGAATATATCAATACCTTCGGCAAACTGACTGGTGTGCGTGGTCTGGTTCTGTCAGTTTTTATAAGGTGCCGCTGGTCTGCAGGTAAAAGGTGGTACTTCATCGCCTCGATGAGAAAGTCCTTACAAGTGTTGTTGTTTTTTATTAAGGGCTCCTCCTCTACAATCTGTACAAATACACATATAAATCTTAAAAATAATGCTTGAATAAAATCACAAAAGATATCACAATAAATACAGAGAAATCGCTAGTGATGTAACGATTCACTCAACTCGATGTGATACTGATTTCACAATACGATTTTCTCACGATTTTTTTAACAAAATGAGATTTAAGACAAATTATTAATGAGAAGGTGTCCTTTTATTATTTCTCAGACAAAATGCTGCACATTGCTTTGTGAAACTGAAATATGTCAAATAAAACTAAACTGAAATTTAAAAAAAATCCCAAATCAATAAATAATACAAATAAAACAAATCTCTTCATATAAACAAACTAAGACTTTGTCTGTGCTCTTTGTCTGTTTGTCTCTAAAATTAGAGGCGACCACTGCATTTTAAAGAGATAGTTCACCCAAAAATAAAAATCCTGTCTTTAATTACTCACCCTTATGTCGTTCCAAACCCTACATGGTTACCACTGCAAACAAAGCAGCGCTGCACTTATGAAAAGAATCTAATCTAATGCTGTGTCCTGATTCGCCTACGTATACTATGCCATAAAAGTATGTACTCTTTTTGTGAAGAAAAAGTATACTTTTAAGTCTGTAGCAGAATAGTAAGCAAGCTTTGGGACATAACTGCGTCTTTAACGGACGCTCTGTTGCTTAGTTACGTGCATCCTGTCACCATTTAAACTGCACTATCATCAATCGTCTTTTCAATGTTAACATTATCCATATTTCGTTTAATTTCCAACCGTATTGGAGAGAAATGAAGAGGCACGTTGATCTGCCAGTCTCGGGTCAATCATGCCGAGAACTCTCTTCCTATGTTTGCATGACGCATTTAAAAGTTAATGACCAAACGTATTATTATAAAAGTTCACAGCGTTGCTGCAGATGAAATATAACGTGGATAACATTAAATAAATATTTTTCCAACAGGTTAGATATTGATTATTTATCACTTAAACCCCTTTCTCAGTCTCGCATATCCACCATGTTTGTAGTTTTTAAACACTTTTTATGCGTGTTTGTAGTTCTAATCAAATCCTCGTCCACTGCGCCATGTGTTGTGAGCAATATTAGCCATTAAGAGTGTGCATGGATCTGCACTTCAAATTTCTACCCTAAGTAGTAAACCATCCGGGTACCTCTGGAATACTCATTTCGACATGCTACGATTTGGGACATACTAATTCTAATTTAGAATACTATTTAGGATGGACAGTATGCAAATTGGGATGCAGCATAAGGCTACGTCTACATTAATCCGGATACATTTGAAAACGGTAAATTCGCAATAAAGCGAATTTAACGTTTTCTGATGTTCTTGTGAACTTTTGGAAAACGGTTGAAAACGCTAGTGTGGACATTGAGCGTTTTAAAACGTTTTCCAAAAGTTCACAAGAACATCAGAAAACGTTAAATTCGCTTTATTGCGCATACATAAAGCCTCAAAAAAGCTCACTGACACGATACAGACGGAACAGACATGATACATTTTCATGCGATTCTTCTGGCAGGATCAATTAATTTAGGAAAATATCTCACCATTCACTGACACTAGAGGTCAACCGATAGTGGATTTTGCCGATACCGATAGCTAGGTTGGACCACACTGGCCGATACCGATTAATTAACCGATAGTTTTTAAAATGGATACTGAACAAAAGCTAAAATAGTGCTTTATTAACAAAAACAGTTCTGAACCATACTAGTAGTAGTAGTAGTAAAAATAATTATAATAATAATAGTAATAGTAAATGTTGAAATTAACACACTCTAACAAGGAACAATACTTACACAGCTTTCATTAATCTTAATGTTACAAATGGACTCTTATTTTCTCTAACGTTTTGCTGAAAATGCACAATACACAATTCATTATGTATATTAACAACGATTCGGGACAAATATAATGTAATTTAAAGGAAAACTATGTGAATGGCGCTCTGTGGCGCAGCAGGATTTTCTGTCGGCTGCATTTAAATCCGCGTCTGAAGTTTCCCGCTCTGTTCAGCGTGCAGTATCACGTGTCTAAACAAATAGCACGTGCTGTCAGTGATTTCAACCACTAGAGGCCGCTCTCGCACTGTATAATGAGAGCAGACCCTTCTCAGCTGCTCCAGCAACAGACGCAACCCAGAAAACTATCGGCATGGATTTTTGCCGATAACCCATAGTTCCAGCAATCAACTATCGGTGCCGATTAATCGGCAAAACCGATACATCGGTCGACCTCTAACTGACACATCCAGGTCGCACTCACTCATGATTGTATGTCTGACCTAAAACGCAACTGCCCTCATGTTTTGCCGCAAACAGCAATCGCAAGTCAATTTTCTGTTGCCTGTGCAGGACTGTGATATGAAGAGTGTACAAAGTAACACATCTGTAGCAATAGTGTGCATAAACAGATATCTATTGGTACAATGTGTCACATGACTAAACATGCGTTATTGTTTTTAAAAGCCTCTGTTTTCACAGTCCACACTACAATGCGAAAATGGCGTTTTCAAGTTTATTCGCTTTGGAGAGCGTTTTCAAAAAGCTCAGTTTTCCTTGACAAAAACGCAGCCTCAGTGTGGACGGAATGCCAAAATGGAGAGACAAAGATGCATTTTCAAACGAAAACGTATTAGTGTGGACAAGGCCTAAACTTTTCTGAAAACAGTCAGTTCCCCTCAGAGATACATTCATATAAACCCAACCGTATCACGATTCGTTTAACATCTCAACCGACTTGAATCGTCACATTTGTATCTATTCTCAACCAGCCTGGGGTGCATCATTACATCCTGAGAACTCGCTATGAAATTGTGCGCAGTCATACCTGAACCAGGTAATCTCTGGATAGCAGGGGCAGTCGAACATGTTCCATGAGTTTAGGCATGTGCTCAAGACGGGCCTCTTTATCGTGCTTTATCCAGGTGATCATGGCTTCAAATACCTGGGGGTGTAACAGACGAGAACAGTTATTATATATATTGTATGAATGCAGCTCACAGCCACAGCAGACCAGGCCACCATCCTCCACTGCCTGTGTGTCGTGCTCAGATGACACTGAAGCATCTGACAGATGACAGCTGCCATCAAGTGGGTGTGTGAGCGCAGACTGGAGACACAAGTTACTCGTAAGCAGACAGCAACTAATGCAGAGTGACTGACAGATGGCTCGTCGTCTCCTTCAGCGTCACACCAGCATGTACATGTAAAAACCAACCATCAACCCGTCTGCTGTCTACAAATCACGCAAGGCTGAGCTAAAAACAGGCTCTGTGATGTGATGAGGAAGAACCCGAGAAGCACAATAGAAAAGATACAACTGGGACAATAAACTCGGTAGTGTTACCTTCTCTTCAGTGGACACCGTCAGTTTGTCACTGGAGATCAGACTGCACACCTGCTGCAAGGAAAGGGCCATGAACTCCTCACCCACCATGACGTCTGTGAAGTGCTGCTCTGCTTGAAACAAGCAAATGTGCTCAAAAACCTGTATCTTAGCATAAAAATACATATTGGTGGGTTGCTTAATCGACTAGCTTTTTCCCATCCCACAATGACTCAAGCAAGAAGAGAGCTCACCGGCGTAAGCGTGGGCCTGGCTGAGCAGTCCTGTGCAGGCGTGAAGGTCAGCGAACGCTCGGATGCCCAAGCAGTTGGTGGGATGAAGCTGCGTCTGCAGGAAGTCACAGCAAACCTGTCGAACATCCATCAACTGCAGCAGGCTGGCAGCTGGGAGCAACACCTGTACACAGCAGGAATAACACAAAGAGATAAACTCATCACACACACACACACACACACACTAAAGATGAGGTAACCAGGCAGGCAGCCTGCAGACCGGATTTATGATGACTAACCAGTACAGGTTATGTAATGATGACTAGTTTTTTTTTTTTAATACAGCAAAAGAACTGTGCATTATCTCAAACAATATAATACATATACATACACTACCAATCAAAAAGATCTTTTAATGTTTTTGAAAGTAGTCTCTTACGCTCACCAAGGATGCATTTATTTGATTACAAATACTGTAAAAACAGCAATATTGTGCAATATTACAATTTAAAATAAGTGTTTTCTGTTTTAATATATTATTTACATTTTAAAAAAATATTTGTATGTATTATTTTCAATATATATATGTAGTTTATTCCTGTGATCAAAGCTGAATTTTCAGCATCATTACTTCAGTCTTCAGTGTCACATGATCCTTCAGAAATCATTCTAATGTACTTAATTGCTGCTCAAGAAACATATCTTATTATTATCAATGTTGAAAACAGTTGTGCTGCTTAACATTTTTGTGGAAACCATGATTTTTTTTTTTTTCAGGATTCTTTGATTATTAGTAAGTTCAAAAGAACAGCATGTAAAATATCTTTACTGTTACTTTAGATCAATATAATACATTCTTGATTAATAAAAATATTAATTTCTTCAAAAAATAAAATCTTACTAACTTAAACCTTTGATAGTAGTGTACATACTAATTAGAGAGAGTTCTGCCTATAATTTTTCATCTTTTACCAGTGATGATTCAGTAAGGAAACTAAAATGAATTGCATTTCACTTTAAATATTATTATTGTTCATCATTTTAAATAAAACATTATTTTAATAGAGACTGAATTATTAATAGATCATTTCAAAAGCTATTGTCACCACCTCAACTGTTATACTAAATTAATTTTATTAAGTAAAATGATGAATTAGGAACATAAATGAATTGAACCCAGCATCAGCTACTTAGCATACAAGTAAAGGCCTCGGGGGAAAACAAGACTAATATAGAAAAGCGCATCTGCACATTTTAGCTCAATAGCCACTTGGCCTATAGGGAAATATAACATAGGGTGAATCATTATACTGAATGGCATTGTTAAAATCCCCAAGGACCAACTAAGCCATAAACAGCCGCTACCCCCAGCAGAGCATCTGTCCATCCTATCCAGATGAAAACTAGGCCACTTCATGCTGCTCCTGCATAAATGACATGAAGCTTCTCAGATCATCTATTCTCCACCGTTGTATTCTGTACATCCAAACAAAAGCCCCACATACAAACAACAGAACGTACTGGGACAACAGAGCTCCAACACAAAGGGCAAAGTGCACATCACAGAAAACTTCCTCTCCAGCTCTGCTCATAATGAGAGGAAATACCCTGCATCTCAGCACTCATAACAGCACCAGATCTCCAGAGCCAGGGAGCGCAAACAGCCTTTACACAAAGAGCTAGTCATTAGTTATGTTTGAAACGGTACAGTCTTCAAAGGTACATTACCTGAACATTATCCTCAGACACTTCGATCTCGGCAGTGTAAATATAATCCACCAGCTTCAAGAGTGTCTGTCCATCAACATCCCTGATCTCCACATGGTGAGCCTTGCTTTCACTCATGTCACCTGGACACATCAAGCACAACACAGAATCAGACACACAAACTCTTAAAATCTGTTCAAATGAGACTTAAAAAAGGAAGAATGAACTAGGCCTGTCACGATAACAACTTTTTATTGTGCGATATATTGCGTCACCAAAAATGATTGAGGTCATGTACATATATTGCGCGATAAGTCGATATATTGATTATTGCAACAGGCCTAGAATGAACATCGTTTTTTTTTCTCTCTTTATTTATATGTAACATCACTCATGCTGCTGCAAATACCTTGCAAATAATTAGATGGTCTATCCTCAATTCCGTCATTTACTCGCCCTCATGTTGTTCCAAACCTGTTTTACTTTCTGTGGAGCATAGAAGATATTTTGAAAATCACAGTATTTTTTTTTGTTTGTTTTGTTTAATTTTTTGGTCAATGGGCAACAAAACTGTTTGGCCACCAACATTCTTCAAAATATCTTCTTTTGTTTTCAGTTTGGAACGACATGACGGTGAGTAAATGATGAAAGAATTTTTTTATTTTTTTTATTAGAAGTCATAATTATAGGTCTAAATTAAGTCTCGAGTGCCATGAGGAACATGTGGCTCCCATCAGTGTAAGAAAAGCATTAGGATGTGATGTAGTACCTGTGAACATGGCGCAGAAGTAAGGACTGCAGGACGCTAAAACTACTCTGTGTGCTGGTACCTCCACTTCACCCGCCACCAGCAGAACGTCACAAAGCATCCTCCGACTGTGATTAGAAATAAAACATAAAAATAAAGATCTAGACGAGTAGCGTTTTCCCAAAAGTATTGTAAGCCCACACTAGTGATGGGAAGTTCGGATCATTTTACCGACTCGGACCTTTGAGTCTCGTTCAGCAAAATGAACAAATCTTTTTTCGAGTCATTTCGTTCATTTTAGCAAAATATAATTAAAATGTTATGTGTTACTTCCCTAACACGTCTACTACTTACGCAAACGTTGATCACACTACAAACAATACAAAACCATAATGCTATAAGAAACAGAAAAGATTAATTAATTGTAGGGGTGTAACGGTACACGTATTCGTACCGAACCGTTTCGGTACGGGTCTTTCGGTTCGGTACGCATGTGAACCGAACGAATACAGTTTTTTTTTTTTTTCTCCGGAAATTCAAATAATAAATGGCGTTTTGACAGTCTTTGATGTGGCATGATGACTGAACGAATCACTCCCCGAGACGACTCGATAGAAACCATTGGTGCCAACAAATCTCTATGATCTACTTAAGACTTTCGATGCTTTTGGAGAACGCAGGCCAGAAATATCTTGGATTTTAAGCAGACACGCTAACACGATTGATAATTAACTTCAGGTCAAGTCAGATTTAGTTGTACGGTGCTTTTCACAATACACATTGTTCCAAAGCAGCGTTGCAGAAAATCATGACTTTTTTTTATGTTTATAATATCTTAATATCTTCATGCCTTATAGTTGCATTAAGCAAATCGCATTAAGTCGAGCAGCTGAGAAATGCTATATGGTACATATCACCCTATGTAAGTATACTGTATGTATGCGGATAAAGTTGGATATACTTGTATATCCAACTTTATGTAAAGAACTGGGTGATATTGTTACATTTTGCAACAAAATTGTATTTATTTATATTTTAAAATTAAAACTCTATTCCATATCAGTTCACCTCAAAATGTTAGGGGGATGTGTCTCCATCAGTGTCTATAGAGGCTACCTAAATAACAAGTTGCATCAGTTTACCAACCTTCTCAAGTCATTCATGAGCCGAAAGGCTTTCCTCATGTGTGTGTGACTGAAGGTGTGCAGCCCTGGGTCTTTGGCATCTTCCTGTGAGTCCAAACTAGACAGAGGACAAGGGACTCCAAATCTAATGAATGAATCAAAGAGATCTTCGCAACTAACATGTTTAATAATTAAAAAAAAACTTTAATCAAAACATGTTAAATGTTTTAACCATAATGCTCGAAACACAAACTAACTTATACTAGTACTAGTTTTGCATGACAGTTCTGCACCTACAATTTGGGGTTTATAGAGCACATCAGTGCATCGATCGGGAATCAGTTAAAGTTACTGCACAAGACGATTAGCACGAGATTATTTTGAATGTCTCCTGCACTGCTGGCCTGCTAATACAGCATTATTTCACACATTTACGAAGGTGTTTACGATCATTTATATATATATGTAACACTTAAACGTGAAGTATGATGTTAACATGTTAAAATACAGAGACTTTTAAGTGAATACACAACAGACCGCTAGCAATTTAGCCGCTACAAATAGTACTAATAGTAAGTCAGAATGCGTTCTCTAGTTCGTTTTACGGTTCAAATCACAGTTTTATCTATTACTAGTCACGTCGGGTTCCTCTTTACCAAAAAACACATGTTGTTAGTTAACTGCATCTTTTTTCCCCCCTCACAGCACACACTTACCCGTCACAGTCCATGGTTTGAGCAGATCGCGCTAGGCAGACGGCTAAAGTTAGCTTGCTACATCATTTTCGGCAGGTTTTGGAAGTCTCAGGCATTCCGTTTATTGACGTTTGCGTTCGTTTAAAGCCTCCAGTCGAGTGCTGAACGTTTTCATCAGGCTGTTTCTTGCTCAGTGCCGTCTCTCATGAGATGGCCGGGGCTGTTTACCTGACTGGTTAGCAGCTCGCAGCTATCGCTGGGCTCACGGACTTTTACACCCGAGAACGGTCCTCCATCGTCAGCGCGTCGCCTAGCAACAGTGATACAATCGGTCACTCTTCAGAACACAATCACGCTAACATGCTTCTGTGGCCCATATCAGCTATATGAAAGTTAATCATTTATTGTGTTATAGTGTAAACGTTACTCATTGTTTATCCTTTTTCCATCCTGTGTAACACCACTTGATGCATTCAAACATTAATAACAGACTCAAAATATATCCAGTTAATTTTTTTTATTGAATTCATCAGACATTCGACGCCATGTTTATTCGTGTTCATGTGCACTTTGCCATTATGCATTTGATTCAACTCCAGTCAAAGGAACCGAATGCAGTCGCCCTCCAAGTACCATTATCACGGCATCATCTTGGCACCAGGTCTGTAAAAACAAACAGAAGACACATATAATACTTTGATGAGAGCCATCCCAGTAGGCTTAACCCTAAAATGTTAACCCTGTGAATCAAAAATGGCCTTAGATTCAGTAAAGGCAACAGTGTTTATCCAGCTTTACGTTTGGGTGGTATTAGGGTTGCAAAGGGGTGGAAAATTTCCGGAAACTTTCCAAAAATCCCTGGAATATTCCAAAAAAAATCCTGGAAATTTTCCAAAATTTCTGGAATATTTCCCAAATTTACTGGAAGTTTTCCACCTTTTTGCAACCCTAGGTGGTATTGCTATTTTAGATCGGAAATGCAATAACAGACATATTCCCAAAATATTTCAGACAAAGAGAAAGACTACTCCAAGAGGGAAATTCTACTGAGGTTCCTTTATAACAAATATAAATTGGAGAAAGGCCTAGTTTTTGCCAAGTAAATTTTGTACATCTAACAAGGTTAAGGAGATTCATTATTAAATCCTTCATAATTTATCCTGTTAATTTGTCTATTTCTAAATATTCTAAAGTTGATGAGTCTTGCTCATTTTGTGGTTTTGAGGAAACCGCTGCCCATTTGTTTTTTTATTGTAGTATTACCAACAAATTATGGGTTGATTTAAGCGCTTATGTATCTAACCTTACAGATGTGACCCATACTTTCATCCTCAAAGATGTTATTTTTTATTATGAAAGCTATTACCTGATGAATATGTTGTTAATTTTCTTGTATCGAATGCAAATTTTTTCATTCATAAGCAAAAATGGCTAAAAATCTCCTTTGTCTTTCCCCCTTTATCTTGCTGAACTTGATTCTCGTTTCATCTCTTAGACTTACAAATAACAAAGAGTGCCAAATTTTTGATGCATTATGACAACTTTTCTAAAATGTTGTAATTTTATTTTTGTACTTTTCTGTATAGATAATACCATAATTTGACGTACGCAAATCCAGAATATTTGTTTTCTGTCCTCTTTATAGGAATATATTCATGTCTCATTTCCCTGTTCTTGTATGTTTCTACAAGTTTTGTAATAAAACAAACAGAAGACACATTTTCCAGCGACGTGAGCAAATCTCAGTGATAAGGCCCACAAAAAGACCATGATGCTTGACAAACCATGGTAAACTTAAAAGGAGAACGTAATTAGGATTGCACGATTATGACAAAAATCATAATTGTCAATTCTTCCCTTGAAATAGTAATTGCGATTATTAAATTACAATTATCGAAATTTACATTGTTTTGAATAGCGTTATACCATTGTTTGAAACAAATGCACGCCATATTTTTAGATGAAAATAAACAAGCTGAAAACACTAACTGAAAAACTTATTGCTTTTCTAGAGTATTAAGCCTCATGTCAACTATACATTGGATCGGTTTATTCTTTAAATAAAAATTACATAAGCACAGTATAATAATGTTAAACTAAATTAAAACAATGGAAAAACCCTTAAGATAACCTGTAGAAAGAAAAAAAGCACCTAGAAATCTTAAGCACCTAGAATACCGTAAGTGGACTTTGAACGATTAATTGTCGCTTAAGCCCTATATGTAATCGAAATATTTTGATTTCAAATCACTGAAACGCAAGACATTCATTGTCAGGGCTTAACGTACAAAATCTTACCATGAGCATCTTGCCTCTCGGAGGTCCACGGGAATCTGGCATATGCGTTCATATGCAAACTCTGCTCGAACGCAAAGACGGGAAAAAAGGAAATTCTGTAAATATAATTTGTGTGACTTACTGTATAACACGGATTTAAAAAAAGAACCTGCTTACCAAACTCACTGGAGTTCTTTCTTCATCTTTCAGAGCATCTGGATTCACAGCCGCAGCAGAGGTTCATCAAGCGGCCGCGCTTGGAAGTGAGATTTTATTTAAATCCTTCCATTGCGTTCTCTGTGGAAAAAGAAGACAGATGCAGATGCATGTAAGCGTCAAGTCAACAAGCGGTGTCCTGAAACATGTCTAGCTACACAACCCCTTCAGATTTACACACTGTGCCTTTAAGAAGGGTCTTTGTAGGAGGTGTGCTTTGAAAATGACAGCACTTTTGAAAAGGCCAGTGTCAAGAGGTTGTATAGTTGCATTTTCACTAGTCTCACTCGATTATCAACAAAACCCACTGCCCTCTTAGACTGCCAGAAATGTAGGACAAAACACCGAGATGAGGAGGGGAGGGGGATTGATAAGATGTAAGGTAAATAACTGAAAGCACAAACCTTGCTTAATAAATGCTGATCTCCTTTGCATTTGATGTCATTAATATCTGGAACTAATGCGTCAAGTATACAGGAACTATAAGCTCCGTTCTCCGGTTTGACCTTAAACTGGAAATCGGCTAAAATATTGGATTAAGACATAACTACATAGACCACAATCACCACATTGAACTACAGAGCATGTTCTAATTTCCACTTTTCCTCTAAGTTACATGGTCACCGCCAGTTAACGCTATTCACAGCTAGAATTTAGGAAATGCTGAAATAAAGTTGCATGCACGCTTTACGTTAACGACTCACAAATACCTGATTTCGTTCCAGGTGGATCCAAAGTATGTTAAAGACACACCCGATGCAATGTCTGGTGTATAAAGCATTTCTACAAACCTGGTGCGTTTATCCTATGGATTTTCAGCTGGGTTTCTACATCTCTGGAGTAGCCCTGGAGAATCCAATGACGTAGTAGTGGACACAGCTAAGGTATAGATCCGTCTTATTTGATCACTAAAAGTATTGGAACAAAGCTCTAAACATATTTTAAGAATAAAGACAACATATGGTTGGGAAAATATTGACATCCCCACATGTCTGATGCAAAGAAATGTCATTAATATGGAGCACTAGAGCCAATGCCTGATGACGGCAAAGGCTGGCCTCCAGTTTTAGTCTTACCTAGATGAAAAGACTGAATCGCTACACGGGCCTCATAGGCGACCCAATAAATCTCAGCTGGCCATAAACCATACTGGCTACGGAATAATGACTTTTATTAACAGAAATACATACAGTTCAGTTGTATCTGAAATAAACAATATTCAATAGGTTATTCCGTTGAAGCAGTAATACAATGAGACAAGAGCATTTAAGTCCTTTACTAAATGATTAAACTGTAGAAAAACAACTCAAATCGGTCTTCAGAGCCCCGACGAAAAGGTTCGTTGTAACACCAATGACAATATTTTCATAATGTGCTTGAACTATTTAACAAATGTCACTAATTGGGAGGAGACACACGTTAGTCACTATATTAATGGATGTTGAGGGCTGTTTTAGTGAGCCTGAAACTAGTTCTTTAACTTGCTACGGTTTTGAGACGCCAAAAATTTCTGTTTATTCCAACACGTTTCTTATGTTAGGACGAACAGCTTCTAGTTGCCATCGAGCCTAATTAAAGAAAAGTTCAATCTTTCATTGGTTGGCGGCAGACTCTGCAGCAAATTGAGTTCAACAGTGTCCACTTTTTCAGCTGCCTTGATTTTCTGGAGTATTTTTCCCATTCATTTTTAAAAAGTAAAAAAAAAAAAAAAAAAAAAAAAAAATTTTAAAAAAAAAAATGGGTACAAGATCAAAAGTACTGCAATCCCAAGAAGCATTGCGAATGACAGATTAAACTATTGATTTAAAGATGTTGAGTGTGTATATAGAAACAAAATTTTACGTTTATTGCAAAATAAGCAAATATATACAAAATATTACATCATGCGGCATGCTTCATGGGAGTGGGTGGGCACTAACAGGTTTTATTTAAGATTTTTTTTGAAGAATCATGGTTAATTTTAACATATTTGCAAAATGAGTTAAAACAATGCCCACTGGCGGCTTCAACAAATGCATATAACATCAATTAACCTCATAGCTCACAGTAGGTCTTGTCTTATGAAGAAAACGAATGGGATTTTTACTTGTGATATGCAAATCATGCCTGCTGCCAGCCAATGAATTTTTGAATCTCTACAGGGGTTCACTGTGATTGGCTCTCAATCAAAACCAAATTTAAATGTAGGGCTGCAAAACGATTAATCGCATACAAAATAAATGTCTGTTTACAAACTGTGTGTGTGCACTGTATTTTTATTATGGATATATAAATACACAGTCATGTATATATATATATAAAAAAAAAATGTTATGTATATTTATACTTTATATAGTATATTTTATATATATATCTAACATTTTTCCTTGATGTATACACGTGTGTATTTATATATACATAAATATACACAGTACACAAACATAAAATATGTAAACAAACGTATTTTGAATGCGATTAATCGTTTTGCAACCCTATAATGTATTGAAAAGAAAACACACAATAAAAATACAATACATATACTAAAAGTAGGAAAACGCATGCATACAATAATTAACAAGCAAAAAATACTACTCTTAACTTAACCCCAAAGCACAAAAAACGTGAGTAACAGTTTCGCGAACAAGTAGCCTGCCAAGACACCACTGGCCAGTCTTATAATAAGTAGAGATCCGGAGTAGTAGTCCTATGTCTTGCTGGGGAAAAAAACTCCCTAGTACTTCAGGGAAAAGAGCAAAAGGATGTGTAGTAGTAGCAGTAACAGCTGTGAGGTGTTGAGTAAAGTCGGATAGGTGAGCCCTAACGTTACCTATGATCTGCTAGGCTGGATAAAGTTGTGAACTCCTGAATGGAGCTTGAGTGTTTCAGTCAATGCCATGCCTCATTAAGGTGGCTCAATCTGGCTACTTAGCTGAAGATAATGTGTGGTCAAAACTGTGATGTGGGCTGGGGAAGGAGCTGCTCTTAATTTGTGACCTAATATACGCTCCTAATACGAGCCTCCGTAACCCCCCCTGCCGTAACCACCACCACCACCACCTCCTCGGGAGTAAGGAGCGTTGCTTCTGCCCGAGTAATTACCTTTCATTGGGCCATAGCCAGAGGACTGCTGGCCATAGCCGCTGCCAAAGTCACTGTAGCCGTTACCACCGCCGTAGCCCTCCATTTGGTCCCCGTAGCCTCCCCCATACCCGCCACCGTAGCCGTCACTGCCTCCATAGCCGCCGCCGCCGCTGTAGTTACCGTATCCGCTGCCGCGCCCGCCGTAGCCGTTCTGCGGTCTTCCCATCCCCCTTCCGCGGCCGCCACGGCCACCGCGACTACCGGCGGCCTGCATCTCCTGCTTGGTCAGGGCTTTCTTCACCTCCACTTTATGCCCGTTAATAACGTGGTACTTGAGCACCACGGCTTTATCGGCCGAGTCGTTGTCTTCAAAATACACGAAGCCGAAGCCCCGCTTCTTGCCGGTCTCTTTGTCCGTGATCACCTCCGCCTTCTCCACCGCGCCGAACTGGGAGAAGCAGTCGAGGAGGTGATCCTCCTCGATATCGTCTTTAAGCCCGCCGATGAATATCTTCTTCACCTTCGCGAGGGCCTCGGGTTTGCCAGCGTCTTCCCGGGCCACGGCCCGCTTCAGCTCGACGTTGTTACCGTCCAGAACGTGCGGGCGGGCCGCCATGGCCGAGTCCGCCTCCTCGGGGCTCGAGTAGGTCACGAAACCGAAACAACGCGAGCGCTTCAGCTGCTGGTTCTGCACAACCACGCAGTCCGTGAGCGCTCCGTATTGCTCGAAATGATTTCGCAGCCCGTCGTCGGTGGTCTGGACGTTGAGGCCACCGACAAACAGCTTGCACAGTTGATTTTCCATTTGAGCCGTCATCTTCGCAACCGATTTTCCGCTGGGTTGATGTAAAATGGCGGTGAAATATAAATGGCGGCGGCGGTGGTGCGGACGGATGATGTCATGTAAACGTAACCACGCCCACCGCAGTATGAGATCAACGGGTGCAGTGTTGCCAAGTCCGCGGTTTTCCCGCGGAATTGGGCTACTAAAATACTATAGTAATTTATAGTAAATAAATACTGTAGTGTTTTTGAACCATACTATAGTAAAGTACTTGAATTAATTTGTTGTGGTAATTCTATAGTTGCTGTGGTAATATAGCAACTATAGTAATATAAACAAATTACTTTACCCAATAACCTACTGTACTAAGTTTTCTACAACTATAGGGTATATTATACTACAATACACTACCGTTTATTGTAGTAAAAACTAAAGTGTACTACAGTATTTATTACAGTTTATCAGTTCACTATAGTTAATACTACAGTATGCTATAGCATTAATTAACAACGTGTTGTAAATACTATAATATATACAGTATAATACACTTTACTATAGTATGGTTCAAAAACACTGTAGTATTTACTATAAATCACTATAGTATTTTTTCATGTGGGTATTGCCGCGGTTTGTTTTTCATGTCAACTGGACTTTGTGATCAGTGCCAAATACCTGAGAATGTAGAACATGTTGTTGTGTATTGCACAAAATATGAAATTTAATGGATGATCTTCGTAAAAGACATGGGGGAAATAGGATTAACTGGACGTGGATCAAAGACATACTGGAATGCAGTAGGAGCGGACAAGGAATGAAATATTTGATTCGTTTTTTGACTAAAACGGGACTAATATCAAGAATATGAAGAAGAAAAAAACAAGATGAACGCGATTTTTACAGAGGGCCCCCCTCAAAACGCAATTGGGCTGGTTTGGCGGGTTTTTGTTGTGAAAACCTGGCAACCCTGAGTTATTTTGATAACTGTAGTACTATTGTTTGTATTTCGGTAATGGACCCTTTTCACAAGATTGTGATGACGCGTTTAACGGTCATCAGCATCGTAAATCCTCAAAAGTTTTTCATATTTGAATTTTCTCAATATTTTGATTTTTTTTGCACCCTCAGATTCCAGATTTTCAAATAGTTGTATCTCGACCAAATATTGTCTTGTCCTAACAAACCATACATCAATGGAAAGCTTATTTATTTATTTCAGATGGTGTATAAATCTCGATTTCAGAAAACTGACCCTTATGGCTGGTTTTGTGGTCCAGGGTCACATGTATTTTGTACAGTTTTGCAGAAACTTTAGTCTGGTTCGCTTTCATCTGCTATGACGGATCAAACATGTTCTCCTCTGAAGACCAGAACGTAGCGTTCGTTCAAAAAGGACAGCTAGTGCGCATGCGCAGTGAAGACAACAACAGCCCACTACAGCAAAACAATGGCGACGGCCGTGGAGAATATCGTTAAAGTGTGAGTACATGTAGTTTTTAAACTCTTTGAATGAATATCCGTGTGATATTCTCGATTTGTGACTTGTTCGGGACGGTTTTATTGTCAACAGTAAGGTTGAAGCATTGGGGTGGCGTTTGGCTAATAATGAAAATCGTTCATTCATCGTTTTCTGACATCAAAGCGCTACATACAGACGTGTGTTCTTTTAAAATCTGCTGCACTAACCAGTCACTAGTTCTTTTGCCTTGTTGTTGTGTTTTCTTGTCCAACTTTTTAAAAAAAAATGTCTATATTATTGACGTTGCTTCTTTTATACTGGCAAAAAATAGTACACCTCATTAGGGTCCATTGATGTCCATTGTTTGCATATGTGACCCTGGACCACAAAACCAGTCATAATGGTAAATTTTTTTGAAATTGAGATTTATACACCGAAAAGCTGAATAAATAAGCGTTCCATTGATGTATGGTTTGTTAGGATAGGACAATATTTGGCCGAGATACAACTATTTGAAAATCTGGAATCTGAGGGTGCAAAAAAATCAAAATATTGAGAAAATCATCTTTAAAGTTGTCCAAATGAAGTTCTTAGCAATGCATATTACTAATCAAAAATTAAGTTTTGATATATTTACAGTAGGAAATTTACAAAATATCTTCATGGAACATGATCTTTACTTAATATCCTAATGATTTTTGGCATAAAAGAAAAATCTATAATTTTGACCCATACAATGTATTATTGGCTGCTACAAATATACCCCAGCGACTTAAGACTGTTTTTTTGCTCCAGGGTCACATATCAGCACATTGTGACTAGTGCTGGGCGGTATGACCAAAAATTTATATCACGGTATTTTTCAAAATTATACCGGTTTCGCGGTACATGACGGTATTTTTTTTTCATGCATGACCGGGTGTTAACCATATTTTCTACTGATTGAGAGAGGAAATACTGCAGTATATAGACTTAGAATGACCTATTCGCACCAAATGTAATAGTAAAAAAATCCCCTGCTATTTTCCCAAGACTAGGATTTAACTACTCAAATGTGAATATGTTTACTAACGGTAATCTAAATCACATGCTTTGAAGTAACTTGTGTGTGTGTGTGTGTGTGTGTGTGTGGACTGAAGGCTTGGAGAGCAGTACTATAAAGATGCTTTGGAGCAGTGTCACAGTTATAACGCCCGGCTGTGTGCAGAGAGGAGCATCCTCATGCCCTTCCTGGACTCCCAGACTGGAGTCGCTCAAAGCAACTGCTACATTTGGATGGAGAAGAGACACAGGAGTGCAGGTTCAGCATCAGCCCAATACACTTATTCCATTCTCAGTCCGTCCTACTGCTGCTAACATATGATTTCTCTTTAAGGTACCGCACCGGGACAGCTGTACACATATCCTGCTCGCCGATGGAGGAAGAAGAGAAGATCTCACCCACCAGAAGACCCTCCTCTGGCTTTTCCTCCACTCAAAGCTGGTATCTGTTATAGCATAGCCTGTTTGTAATGCTTAACATTATCTATTTCTTGCAGTGATTGTCTTTACCTGTTCTTGTGTTTAAATCTATAACACAATTTTTGATACACAAATTTCTAAAGCCTCTGAAAACCATACCCAATCTACTACATGGCTTCCTTTTTATTTAGTAAATGTATTAATAACTTATATATTATTAGTAATATTTCAAGATGAACACTTACTGGATTGAAGCAACTTGGGTTTAATTGATTATGCGTGCATAATTTTTTTTTAGAAAAATCATGTTAAAATGTGAGCACCATATATAATACATCAGGCTTTTGGGTAACGTTTATTTGTTCATCTCTCAATCATGTCTTTATTGCATTGCATTACATTTTTAATAATGAAAACTACAGAGCTTTGATCATAAAACTGAGCATTTAAATATCATCCGTATTAAAACATTTTTGGGAGGTATAAATTGAAAACTGATATTTATATGCATTTTATGTAAGTAGTGCTGTTATAAATATCTCATTGGTTTACGTTACAAACTCAAAATTTCATCTTATTTTTGATCTAATCTCCATATTCTTCTACATTATACTATATGAGCCATAAAAGCCTGGTGTATCAAATGTGATACTCAACATAAAACACATTTGTGGCACTGGAGCACAAAACCAGTCATATTTGTAGCAATAGCCAACAATACATTGCATGGGTCAAAATTATCGATTTTTCTTTTATGCCAAAAATCATTAGGATATTAAGTAAAGATCATGTTCCATGAAGATATTTTATAAATTTCCTACTGTAAATATATCAAAACTTAATTTTTGATTAGTAATATGTATTGCTAAGAACTTCATTTGGACAACTTTAAACGCGATTTTCTCAATATTTTGTTTTTTTGCACCCTCAGATTCCAGATTTTCAAATAGTTGTATCTCGGACAAATATTGTCCTATCCTAACAAACCATACATCAATAGAAAGCTTATTTATCAGCTTTCAGATGGTGTATAAATCTCAATTTCAAAAAATTTACCCTTATGACATATGCAAACTTTTTATCAAAAGGTTAAATAAACTTGCATTTAAAAAATTTTTTTCAGGTTATTTCAAATGTCAAACTTTATAGGGTTAATAAATATAAACAATATAGATTGAGATAGTTAAGTCAGAGAGAACATATTTAAAATTAGATTGCAAATCCTAACCAAATGATTTAAAACTGCATCTTTTCAAAGCTGAGCTGGAACTGAACCTGAAAAAAGATGTGTTGGGCCCGTTGGATGGGAGCAGTCTGGAGGCCTTGCTGAAAGGAGAGCCGCTGGATAAAAGAGTGTCCACGGAGCTCAGACCGCCTGAGGAAGAAGCCAGTCTGACTGAGATCACTGGAACCAGTGCAGCCAGCAGCCACAGCGGCTCCACACGCATCAGGAAGGTATGAAGCAGGGCTTTTCAATATGGCGTCTTATGTACTGTATACTCTGAGCACATAACTGATGGATCTTCCTTTATGAATACATAGCCTGATCGTTTCCTGTCGTTCTCAGAGAATCCTTGAGCCGGAAGACTACTTGGATGATCTGGATGATGAAGATTTTGAGGAGGAGACCCCAAAAAGAAGAGGAAAAGGAAAGTCTAAGGTAACATGCCTAGTCTAAAAGTTCCTGTTAGTGTTAAGTCTAGTGTTCCTGTGGCTCAGTGGCATTGCGTTAGCAGCACAAAAGGTTGTGGGTTCGATCCCAGGGAACACACATACTGGTAATAAATGTATAGTCTGAATGCACTGTAAGTCGCTTTGGATAAAAGCGTCTGCTAAATGCATACATTTATTTATTTAATGTATTTATTTATTTAGTCTGCTTTTGCTTAATTAATTGAATATTGATACAGTATTAAAGGAATCGTTCACCCAAAAATGAAAATTCTGTCATTAATTACTCACCCTCATGTGGTTCCAAACCCGGAAGACCTTCGTTTATCTTCAGAACACAAATTAAGATATTTTTGATGAATTCCGAGATCTCTCTGACCCTCCCATAGACAGCAATGTCATTAACATGATCAATGTCCAGAAACGTAGCAAGGAGATCGGTAAAATAATCCATGCAACATCAGGGGTTCAACCGTATTTTTAC